AAAAAAAACAATGTATCTGTATGTATTTCTAATAGTACTGATGGAATTCATTGGGAAAAACCGTTATTATCATATTATCCTTATAGGGGAAATGGGAGCGAACCACCTCGTCTTACTAATATTGTATTTATGACTGATGTCAATGAATTTTTCGGTTCTGTTTTTATTGATCAACATTCAGGAATATCTCGTTCAGAAATCTTCAAAATGACATATGAACATACATCTAAACGTTATGTATATATTGGTACATCACCTGATGGATTTATTTGGACAAAAGGTATTCAACCAGCTCATCCAACAGCTGATTTATCTGATACACAAACAGTTATGTTATATTCTCCAGATAATGGTGGTCAATATATTTTATATGCTCGATTAAATTCTGCTGTATCAAATACAAGTGTTTATTGTCCTGGTGCTTTGCCTAGTTATAGAAAAGTTGTTGTTACTTTATCTAATGACAGTGTACATGGTCCATGGTCAGAATCCGTTGAAGCATTTCCTCTCGGTACACCAGATCCAATTCAATGTTTTGATAATTATAATCCAGCTACTTTATTTTATCATAATATTTATTTTCTTTTTTCTTCTGGTTATCTTCATTGGGCAGAAATAAATTCTGGTGCACCAATTCCTCGTGCAGCTCAAAATGATGGAGTTATGGATATTCGATTAGCTCTTAGTCGTATTCCACAAGGTCCATTTACTTTTCTAACAAGAGATCCATTTATTTCACGTGGAATTGGTATAATTGATCCTAAAACAAAATTAGTCAATGGTACTGGAAGTGATCGTGATGCTGGATTTGTTTTTTCATCATCAAATGGTTTGATGGATCCTGATTTTATTCGATCTGATGTTGACGTACTTTCACCATGGATGTATCATATTTATTGGGGTTCACAAACAACACATGCTGGTGGTGGAGCATATTTAAGTCAATATTGGCCAGGTGCATTTACTGGTATATTTAAAGCACGTTTACGTCGAGAAGGTTATATTTCTCTTTCAACATTATCATCAAATCCAACAGGTTATGGTTGGTTTATTTCCAAAGTTTTATCATTACCTAATAATAAGAAGAAGAATAGAAATCAACAATTACAAATGTATATCAATGCTGATACATCAACAGCAGGTTTTTTTGCTATTCAGTTTGAAGATGGTTTAACAAACAATCCAATTGAAGGATATACATTTGATGAATGTAAAACATTACATCAAAATGGAATTCGACAATTGCTACAATGGCGTAGACAAAATGAAACTTATTCGGGAGATTTAACACCACTAGTTAATTATTCAAATGGTATTCGATTTCATATACATATGGCACATACAAAATTATATTCTTTTATTTTATCATATGTTTAATCGAAATATAATCTTCAAGTGTCATAATTGGTATGAACAAGATCATAGATTCCATTCATCGCTTTTTTATAACGAAAACATTTTAAATAGCGTTTATAACAAATAATCATCTCTCTTTTTCAATAAATCATTTATATATCTTTCTTTGTTATTTATGTTGTCTTTTTCAGATTTTACTTTCCAAATATAAAGGTAAAAAACTATTTTTTATTTTTCTATGACAATAAGTCTAAAAATAAACAATCAACAAATTCCTTTTCTAGAAACTTCAATTACTTACATTAGCTAAATTAATCTCATATTTTGTAATTTTATTCAATGTATTTTTTACTCCAGGCAAGAAAAATGATTTTCAAAAACGAACAGTTACATGAAAAATAAGGATTTAAAGTAATTAAAAGAGTATTAAAAATGATAACCGGATTTCTTATTTACTTTCAAAGAGTTGTGCGTAATGAATGAATTCCTATAGAGAAATTATCAAATAAACATGAATCTGTTCAAGTGATGTTTTATTTTACTTTTGTCAATAAAACAATTTCATATAACTGATCAGGTACTTTATATATCGAATGAAAAAACGTCATAATTTTAGTTACTATGAAACAAGAGAAGCGAAGAGTCTTTCATGAAATGAAAATGGTAGACATAGAAAATAAATATTTGAATAAATTTGAATGAATAAATAAAAAAAAGAGAAATTTATTTCTGATTTCAAGAACACAAACAAATGTCGAGAGAAACAGTTTTATGCTCTTCCACCTAAAAGAGAAATGTAAGAAGTAATGAGGAAAAAGGAGTAAAGAAAAATCAGTCATTGTTGTGCATACTTTGTTGTTTTCTTCGATCACATAAAAAATAATGCGGTCTATCATCGTCCTATTTCTCATCATGTCCATTTCATCTGTAAAAGGTTTGTTAGATTATCTTTTTTCATTTGATTCTATCATAATATAATTGAATTCTATAGGACAAACTACACAATTACCTAATTATTCTTGTAGTGAAAATAATGTTTCTATTCAGTTTACATTGTCTTCATTACCTCATTCAGCTTCGAATTCAGCATTAAATTGTTCTTTACAGCAATGTATTGTAAACTCAAACAATAATAATAATAGTTGTTTTTCATCATCAACACCTTGTTTTGATTATCGAACAATAAATAATATTAGTTATTGTGCACCAGGTATTTTATGTTCAATATTAGAAAGATGTGATAATATTACACGAACATGTTCATCAAATAATTCAATATGTGTTATCAATTCATGTTGTTCATCACAAGCAGTATGTTTACCATTATTAGCAATACAAATGTGCAAAACAGGTACTAGTACATATTATAATGAATTGACGAAAAATTGTTTTTGTATTAATAAATTTAAATAGAGCATTTGATTACATATGAAATATGAGCGACACTAGAGTCAAAAGAAACTGAATAGGTGAATTTGTGTAAATTAATGGAGAACTAACAATGATTTGATAGTAAATTATCAGAGATTTCTAGATTAATCACTCACTTTTTCACTAGCTTATGTTTTATATCAGTTCCAGTTAAGGAGGTTATATAGTTCTTTTCTCATTTATACAGAGATGATTGAACAGAAAATATCGTGAATAATTTATTATTTTGATTGTGATATCCAAAGAACTATAAAAGAGTTGATGGGAAGTTCGTGTTTTTTATTCTATTGAATAACTTTCGACCAAAACTTGTAAACTATGTCAAGAATCGAAAAACACATTAGTCAGTGTAACTATTACTGTGGCTAATTTGAGACAATTGCCTTTTATATAATGGATTGAAATAATAGAGGAAATAGAAAATATAGAAAAACTAAAGATGTGATAATGGTATGTGAAGAGGATGTGTGCAATACATCTGACTAGTATTCTCGATCTACATCAGCTTGAGATGTTTTAAAACAGATATATCGGAGACCGTCGTTTTTTTTGAATAATGAAAAATACTGTTGAAGAATAATGATTGTTGATTGTTTGACGATCAAATATTGTATTGTCTAAGTATATAAAAATATAACTTCTAGGATGGTTTTTTACTAACAATATAAGTAATGCACGATATTGGCACACAGCATCTGTCTTATCTAATGGAAAAGTATTAGTTACTGGTGGTTCAGCCAATGGTTATTTAAATAGTGCTGAATCCTATGATCTATCAACAGGTACTTGGACAACTACTAGTAACATGACTAATGCACGGGGTTCTCACACAGCATCTATATTATCAAATGGAAAAGTATTAGTTAGTGGTGGATATGGTAACGGTTATTTAAATAATGTTGAGCTGTATGATCCATTAACAGGCACTTGGACAGCTACTGGTAATATGATTACTGAACGAGCTTTTCACACAGCATCTACATTATCAAGTGGAAAAATATTAGTTACTGGTGGAGATAATACGAATACTATTTTAAATAGTGCTGAATTATATGATCCATTAACAGGTATTTGGACAAATACTGGTAACATGAATAATGCACGACGATGGCATACAGTATCTGTATTATCAAATGGAAAAGTATTAGTTATTGGTGGAGAGAATTATAATGGTTTTTTAAATAGTGCTGAATTGTATGATCCATCAACAGGTATTTGGACAACTACTAGTAACATGACTAATGCAAGAACTGAGCATACAGCATGTGCATTATCAAGTGGAAAAATATTAGTTACTGGTGGAGCTGGTATTAGTGGTGCTTTGAATAGTGCTGAACTGTATGATCCATCAACAGGCACTTGGACAACTACTAGCAACATGGTTGCTACACGATACTGGCACACAGCATCTTTATTATCAAATGGAAAAGTGTTAGTTACTGGTGGATGGAATGGTAATATTGTTTTAAATAGTACTGAGCTGTTTGATCCATCAATAGGTACTTGGACAACTACTAGTTACATGACTGATGTACGACAATTTCACACAGCATCTGTATTATCAAGTGGAAAAGTATTAGTTACTGGTGGTTGGAATGGTACTAATGCTATAAATAATGCAGAATTATATTAATTATTTCAAACAAATTAACTATCAATTATATTATTCTTTTTCTTGCAAGTAATGCGAATTCCAAACAATACTTTAGTTAGAAAAAATGTCAGCTTGTGTCGTTCACTAATTGTTTCCTTCCACATTTTTACTGAATTATCATTTACTTTAATATTCCATCCCAAACTAAAATAAATATCTTTGTTTTTCTACTCTTATCTATCAGTTTATTATGATCAACAAAACTTACAATTGATACGATAACTTTACTTAGCCTTTCAAATGTTTTCTTCGTTTTGCAGTGTAGTTACTCACAATATTTAATTGTTTTGATATTATTCATCAGATTTGGAATCTATGGTCATTGAAACACCTCGATCATTAAAAGACCTTAGAGTAAGTTCATGAATGACATAGATGAGTTAAACAAAATACGGATATCCAACTTATCTTAGATTTACATAAATATATATGTTAACGAGAAATAATAGAAAATAAGATAATTTCTATACAATTACGTAGTGAAAGTTATCAGCCGGTTTGAAACTTATAATCCGACTAAAAGTAGTTGTGATGGATGTCGAATTAAGTTCTGCGTCGAGTGGAGCAATTTTCGGGGAGAGTCACCAATCGACGATAATCTTCTTGATTCAAAAACAAATTTGTTTAAAATTAAAACTTTTGACGAAGTATTTGATTAAAAATAATTGAAAAGTCTAAATCAAGTAGCACACGCATAAGGCAAAAACACGAACGTTCTCGTCAGGATCAAGTTCATTTCCATTTATTTTTATTATCTCATATAGAAAAAATTCTACATTTAAATAGAATGTTCATTCGTGTTCAATTCGAACGATGTTCGAAAAAAAAATAAAAACTAAGATAAAAGCTAATTTCATTCAAATAATAATTCAAACATTTACATAACATCTCTAGTTTATTATAGTGATAAATAATTAAGAAAAAACATACGCAATACATTAAAAGCAGCATAAAAGATTTTTTTCTTCAACTTAATTTTCAGACATTTTTGAAAATGAAAAGCAGGGGTGACGTTTTTTAAATATAGTTTAAAGATCTCTCGAAATGTTAATTTATTTTTGAATTAAAATGGAAGACAAAATTTATAATAAATCTCAGAAATTTACTAATTATGAGTCTAAAATAAATTGTTTACATCACCTAGAGAAAGATGTAAGTCACACAAGTTGTCTCTGCTCTATGTAATATGAGCTTAGATCAACATCCAATTCGTAACTAAATAGTGAAATATATTGCTTCATTTTATATGATCATTTGCTACTAGACTGGTACCAATGATATTCCATTTGCGATTACAGTACTGGTTCTAAAAAATATTACTTAAAAGTTTTCTATTTTAGTGACATATAGATCTTGGAAAATGACAAATTAAATCTCGTCTATATACAATTGAAGTAGATATTGTGTATTTGTAAATTAATGTTAAATCAATAAATATGACAACTAGTGATGAACTTTGTAGAAAAAAAGAAAATTAGAGTACACAAAATGATTATAAATCAAATTCACTGATATGTTTCTCCATTCCAATTCATTTTAGAATATTTTAAAAACACACCTGTTTCACGTGTAGCACAAATGAAAACTGCAAGTAATGTAACATGTCTATTTTAATTGAAAGAAAGTTTTATTAATTTTATTGCAATATACAAATAACAAAATATGACTATATGGAATGACAAATTCACTAGTTTTGACGTTATTGAGTTTCTAACCATTCATTGAATTCATTCTCTAATTGAGGATCAGTATTATTTTCTGGCGGACGACGAAGAATTGATAATGATGATTGCTGCTGTTAATAAGAAACTATTCCTCGAGGACTGTATGGTAAACTATTAAACATAACGTGTTAGTTGAAATGATTGATTTTCTGTAGATTGTCGTCGATGTAGATGACCTTCTTCATCACAGTCATACAAATTGCAAGCCACACATATTGTTGTTGGAATCGGGATAATACAAATATAAAGAAATGTTTGGCAGTTGGAGCACGGAGATCGTCTCAGAGTATAAATAAGTGCTGTTGTAAAAAGTATAATGGCGTATATCATATGCATAACGGTTCGAATAATGAGCTCCTTTCGTGTGAGTTTTCGAAGCGTAGTACTTATACTGAACAAAATAAGAATGAGAGCAAGAACAACGGCTACAGTCAAAAATAAGATTGATACTGATTCAACATCTGTATGACAAACGATTGAATAGTTTCCTCTAGAGTTTTGTTGATATGAGCATTTAGCAAAGATTCTAGACCATGTTTGAGGTTGTTTTTGTGTTTGATTATTTTGAGAATCGAAATTTACAGAAAGAGGTGATTCGTTTAAACGCAATTCATATTGACCAAATAGATAAAAAAATGGAATTAAATCGACAAAAGAAAGAATAAAAGCCAACAAACAGCAGATATTAACTTCGTCGTCGCCCGATGGTCTTCCATGAATTCGTCTGAGCATAATTGTATTATACATCAGAATGTTTTTAGTTGAATATGATGTTTCGATAATCAAAATGAAGCAACATGGATGCTAATACAATGATATAAAAGAAAAGAAGAGGGCGCTTGATTTGATAGATGCATTCATAATGAACATATTATTTGACCGGATGACCGATGTAGAATGCATTTTCTTCCATATTTTTCATTACTTCTATCGTCTATAGAGTAAATTAATCTGATTTTTTTGGATTAACTTACTGTTTGATAAAGTCACCAGTTTAAAGCATAAATTATGAAATAGTACGATCCTTGATAACTAAAACCTTTTCATCTGTGCATAATGCTCCAAAATTGGGTAAAATAGAATTATACATGAAATAAATGTCAATACCGTTATGAAAAAAAACGTACATTAGCTTTTAGTTATAATGACGAGGGTAATTATCAATAATGAATGGAATTCGTTAACAATCCAAAACTCATTCTCAAACATTGAAAAACAGTTCTATCACATCTTTGCTGTGAATTATAATATCTCATTTTTGGTATATCTGAAAACTATCTTGTGCAGACGTTTCGATATCTATTAACATGAACGAATCATACAATATGTGAATGCTTTTCAATGTGCATATTTGATGTAAATAGAACGTTGGTTGAAAAATTACAAACTGTAATTAAATCACAAGAACTCATGAATAATTATTTAATTGAGACCTATCAACGACAAGTTTTATTTTAAAATGATGAAACTGGGACTCAAGACATATAAAAACTGATCTATAAAAAATCAACAGAAAAATAATACATAAAAATGCTGCTTTAAAAATCAATTGATGTTTCACATCCCCGAAATAAATTCTATTTTTCCTAGTTCTTCCGGGCAGTCGTCGGATCACGTCAAATCAATGCGATATTTATCGGTATATGTGTACCATTTCAAATATGAACGGATTATTAACGATAATTAAGGTAAGGGTGTGGGTGTTGATATGATTTTCATGTAAACCACATATTCGGATCTACGCCTACATCCACACTCTCTTCTGAATATATTCAAATAAAACAAATTTGATCTTTTGCTTATTTTTATTTTATTTTTAATATTTATATGTAAACGTCATTTTAGAATTTTATTCTCATCGAATATTTTTTCTTTTAAAAAATACACTTTCTTCATCTCATTTTTCTTCTCTTTCTCTCAATAGAACCAATAAAATTTCTATTTCGAAGTTTTTTTTCTTAATTTAAATGTTTTTCTCAATTTGAAAAATATTTTATTTGATTTTTCTATAAAAAATAAAATTTTCTTTGAAACTCTTTTAATTTGATTCATTCACCAAAAATTCTATGTCAGTTGTTTTATTCATTTTCATTTTTTTAATTTCAAATTCAAATTAACAAATACTTATTTACTTATTTTTTCTAAAAAAGAAAAACAAATTTATTTATTTTCAAAAATAAAAATCGAAGTTTTATCAAATTAAATTAAAACTATTTTTAATTTCAAATTTTTTCATATTTTTGGATTCGATAATTATTTTTATCAACAACATAAAGATTCTCTTCATTATCAAATGATAAACCTGTTGGTTGATTCAATTGATCTGATTGACTTCCTTTACCATTTCCACCAACAACAATTTCACCTTCTTCATTTCCTTCACACCAACGCACCACTCGATTATTCCTACAATCCGCCACATAGATTTGATACAAATGATCAATAATCAGTCCTCGAGGGTGAGACAATTGTTTGAGACTATTTCCTTGACCATTTCCACCAGCAACAATTGTTCCTTCTTCTGCATCTTTTTCCCATTTCATTACACGATGATTCTTATAATCTGATATATAAAGGGAATATTCTTCATCAATAAAGATATTCGTAGGATAGTTAAGTTGATTAAGATCATTTCCTTGACCATTTCCACCTGCAACTAATTCACCTTGTTTATCTCCTTGTTTCCATCGTCTTACTTCGTGATTCCCCCAATCAGAAACATAAATAAATCCATTTTTATCGATTGTTAGACCCCAACAAATGATATTTGAAACAATAGTTTGTTGATTTGTTTGATTTTGATCAAAACACCGAATTACTCGTCTGTTTCCCATATCAGAAATAATAAAGGAATTATTTTCTTTATCAAAAATTACATCTGTTGTAGCAGTCAAATGATTATTTTGATTTCCCATTCCATTTTCGCCTGCAATGATTTGACCAGTCTTCGAATTCAGTTTCCATTTAACAATACGATGATTCGAATAATCAGCAATATAAATTGATTTCTCATTATCGATAAAGATCCCATAAGGATAGTAGAGTTGATTTAATCCCTGTCCATCTCCATTTCCTCCAGCAACAGTAATTCCAAATTGTTGATATTTATTCTTTTTTATTTGAATTTCTTCTAAAATAAAAAAAGGACGAAAATAAGAAGAAAAATTTGTATTTGAGTTTATTTTAATAAAATGAAATTTAATTTTTAATGAACAAAATTAGTTTTAAATAATTTCTTCATTCAATTCAGATTTTTGAATTCAAAAATTCTCTATTTGATTTTCATAAAAGTTAAATTTATGAAAATGTTTTCAAATGAAAATCTTGTTATCTCAATGATTTAAATAAAATTCAATAACAATTTCTTTTTTATTAATAAATTAAATAATTCTTTTATTTGAAAACTCTAAACTAAAAAGTTAAACTTAATATAAATTTATTTAACAATTTAAAAGCAAGATAATCCTTTAATTAAAATATTAAAAGAGATTTTTCAAATAAAATATCTTTATCTATATATAAAATAATAAAGCGATACTCTGATATTTCACACTGTCTACTATACAGATTAACTTTTTTCATAATTAATTATTTTGAAGAGTTGCTTTCATATTAGAATAGTTTAACAGGCCCCATTATGTCCTCAAAAAACAGATTCAAATCATTTAGATATGAGGTATTTTTAGACTTCTCTCGATCTTATATTTATTCATTTTCAACATTTGAAATTTTTCTCTTTAAATCTCGTTGATGAAATTAATTTGTAATGCGAAAAACTCGAAAAAAATATTTCGCATAAACTTCGTTTTCTCTTTTCTCGAAACGAAATAATTGAATAAACATACCGAATGATGAAATAACTGAAATTTTGTTAATAAATTCTTGTGAATCTTGCTGAATAGAAATATTTGATGGTTGACGAAGTTCTTTTGTAATTTGTGTTAATTTTAATTGAAAGTTATGTAAATCAATTTCATTAAATTCATTTTCTTCACGAATTTTTTTTAATTTCTTAGATAAATTACTAAACTTTTTTTCTACCTCACTGATCGACTTTTGTGTCAATTCCATCGCTGTTTCTCGACATTCTTCTGCTGTTTGTCGAATTTTCTCAATTGAATTTGTTTCCCATTGGTTAATTTGTTGAATTAAAGAAGAATTGTGTGGATTTCGTTTTTGTTGAACAATTGCTTGTTGAAATTGATCATAATCATTAATAATTTCCTCTAATTGTGTCTCGATTCTTTGTCGATGTTCTGTCAAATGTGGAAAACAGAACTCATTTGAACATCCTTTACAACTGTATGTATTTTTTTCTTTGTTACATACCAAACATCTTGCTTTATTATTTGCTGTTGCCATTTGTTGAAGAATTTGAAAAAAAAGTGAATATTTATTCTCATTCTGTTTGTGTATTTATTTGTACAAAACGGAATAAGTTAAAGTCAATAAAAATCAGTACGAAGTAAAAGAACGAAGAAAATCTTTTTTATGGCAGTTATGAAAAACAATTCATCATAAAAACAGTTTAATATTAATGGACATGTAGTTTTATGTTGAAAATTTAATATGTTTTGGAAATTTTCGATC